CTCTGAATTTAACTCTAATTTGCTGATACCGTTCCAGAATCTCATTAAGGCTTTCAGCAAGTTCAGCCTTGGTAAAGTTGACAACAAAGTTAGGAAATACCTCTTCAGTATCTGATTCTGAGTCTGATTCAGAAGCTTCACTATCTTCTGAGATGTTAGCCATGAGAGCTATGTTTGCCCTCTCATCATCTGATTCTGAGTCAGCTTCAGACGAGTCAGAGTCATCCCATGTAGCCATGAGACTTTTCTTCTTCTCTCTTCCAAACTTCTTTTTTGGTTTTTCCCTCTGAAGCTTTGGGCAGTCACTCTTATAGTGTCCTTGCTCATTGCACTCATAGCAGATGATGTCCTTGGTGTTTGGCTTTTTGCTACTGGAGGAGCCTTCAGATCTTCTGTATCGAGAGGAAGAATCTGTCCTTCTGTATCTGGAAGAAGACTCGTTCTGATCAGATCTTCTGGGATTCCTGAACTTCCTTTGTCTTTGCTTCCATAGTTGATTTACTCTTCTGGAGAGGATGGAGAGTTCGTCTTCTTCTGATGAGGATCCATCAGATGTTTCTTAAACTGCCTGCAAAACTTTAGACTCAAATTTTTTGTTAGATTTTAATGCTAAAGGCTTACCTTGCTTCTGAGGCTTGTCAGCTTCTAGCTCTATCTCATGACTTCTGAGGGAGCTGATAAGTTCCTCCAGAGTGATTTTGTTGAGATCTTTAGCTAGCTTCAGAGCTGTAACCATTAGTCTCCACTGCTTGGGTAAACTTCTGATGATTTTCTTGACATGGTCAGCAGTAGAGTATCCTTTGTCCAGAACCTTGAGACCAACTACCAGAATCTGGAATCTTGAGAACATTGTTTCAATGGATTCAAATTCTTCCATTTTGAATGCCTCATACTTTTGAATGAGCGCCAGAGCTTTAGTTTCTTTGACCTGAACGTTGCCCTCATGCGTCATTCTGAGTGAGTCAAAAATATTCTTTGTTGTGTCTCTGTTGGAGATCTTTTCATATTCAGTATAGGAGATGGCGCTGAGGAGGATGGTTCTGGCCTTGTGGTGATTCTTGAAGTCACGCTTTTGTTGGTCAGACATTGTTTTTCTATCAATCTTCTGACCGCTTGCATTCACAGGGTGTGTGTATCCGTTTGACACCATATCCCACAGATCAGCATCATGTGCCAGAAAGAAGCTTTCAATTCTGTCTTTCCAGTAGTCAAAGTTTTCTCCATCAAATACTGGAGGTTTGCCGCTGAATCTGTCTCTGTCCTCATTGTTGTCATTGCTGGTGTGAGAATAGTTTCCTGCATTGTGTTTTTCTGACGCTGGATCTTGTACTGAAACGGTTAAGTGTTTTAGCTCAGAACCAGGCGCTCTGATGCCAATTGAAGTAGTGAAAAACACAAGAAGGGGGGGTTGAATTGTAAAACTGAAAATCAATGCAATGAACAAAATATTATTATCCTGGTTCATTTGAAATCAAACTACTCCAGTCCACCCGTCAAGGTGATTTCGCCTCTCTCCAACGAGGTCTTAATCCACTATATTGAACTGAATATTACAGACTGCTTTAACAACTGCTAAAGCCTTCTTGATGCAAACCACAACCCGGTTTGTCAAGGAAACACTTTCTTACAAAGAAGATAAATCTAAGTGTGTGGATGTTTCTACAAAATTGTATCACAACTGTGATATATACACAACTTAAAGCTTAGAAACTAGATTGCTAAACAATGATTGAATAAGAGAATGTGTAGTGTTCAGCAAACTGAGAGAAGGAAGATTTTGATCAGCTTTTATGCGTGTAAAGATTTGGAGAGCATTAGCCAATTCAATCTTCAAAGTCTTGTTTATATAGCACTGAGATGTTGAACGTTGGAGCAATATTCTTGATTCAATGCTAATAACAAACTTTCCTTATCGAGCAGATCTTGTCTGGAATGAGACCGTTGGTATTAATATGCTTTCAATGCACAGTACCGTTGCTTACTTAATGCAAGTTCTGGCTTGGCTCATTCTGATTCTTCTTAGCTGCTGGTGAACTATTGAGTTTCTTTATCAGAGTGTTGAGCGCAGTTCTGTTCATCAGACTTCAGCATATACGTGAGTTAATCTTCTGATTCTGATATTCTGATATTGCAACTTCTGATGCCGATTAGGTGTAATCTTGCTTATATCAATCAGAGTATCTGCAAATCAGAACGTAATAACTTAGGCAGCAGATAGTTCATACATGAATCATATGAATAATATATCTTTTCACTTTGTTATCATCAAAACTTAAACATAGGGTAGTAGATTCAAACTTTGTTCTAACACTACCATCCATTGGAGTAAAAGAAATCTTGACAACAGACTACCTTCCATATGACAAGGCTACCATCCATTGGAGTAAAAGAAATATCGACAACAAACTACCTTCCTTAATGACAAGGCTACCATCCATTGGAGTAAAAAAATCTCGACAATAGACTACCTTCCATAATGACAAGGCTACCATCCATTTGGGTAACAAAAATATCGACAGCAGACTACCTTCCATAATGATATGGCTACCATCCATTGGATTAACAAAAATCTCGACAATAGTCTACCTTCAATAATTATAAGGATACCATCCATTGGAGTAACAAAGATCTCGACAATAGATTTCCTTCCATAATGACCAGGATACCATACATATGAGTAACAAAAATATCGACAATAGACTACCTTCCATAAAGACAAGGCTACCATCCATTGGAGTAACAAAATTATCGACTACAAACTACCTTCCATTAACATAAAGCTACCATCCATTGCAGTAACAAAAATCTCGACAACAGACTACCTTCCATAATGACAAGGCTACCATTCATTGGAGTTACAAATATCTATACAACACACTTCCTTCCATAATGACAAGGCTACCATCCATTGGAGTAACAAAAATCTCTACAACAGACTACCTTCCATAATGACAAGGCTATCATCCATTGGAGTAACAAAAATCTAGACAACAAACTACCATCCATAACGACAAGGCTACCATCCATTGGTGTAAAAAAAATTTTGTCAACAAACTATGTTCCATAATGACACGCCTACCATCCGTTGCGGTAACAAAAATCTCGAAACCAGACTACTTTCCATAATGTCAAGTCTACCATCCATTAGAGTAACAAAAATCTCGACAATAGACTACCTTCCATAATGACAAGGCTACCATCCATTGGAGTAACAAAAATCTTGACAATACACTACCTTCTATATTTACAAGGCTACCACCCATTGCAGTAACAAAAACCTCGACAATAGACCACGGTCCATAATGACAAGGCTACCATCCATCGGAGTAACAAAAATATCTACAAAAGACATCCATCCATAATGACAAGGCTACCATCTGTAGCGGTGAAAATCAGAGATCAAGCTATTAATTAACTTGACTCACAAAAGCAAGAGTCGCCACCGCGCTTTATTATTTCCAAGGGAAAAGGGAAAAAGAGCGAAATAAAACCCTAAAATATGCAATGTAAAATAATACTTAAAAGTAATGAAAATACAATGCATTTTAAAAAGAGATCGAGAGTTTGGGGGTTGCTTATACAATGGGAAGGTATTACACCCAATGCATCTGCGGTACTCCGCAGGAACCTTTTGAAATATCTGTTTTTTGGTTAAAATTGTTTGTTTGATTGAAATGGTTCGTTTGAGATTTTTGAAGATACGATGACCTAGTGTCGAAGTTTTGACTTAAAAGGTATGAGTTTGAAAATGGAGTCTTTTGGGAGAATTATCTTAAGTTTGGAAAAATAGTAAACAAGCAAAAAAAATGAATGAGGTTATTCGCACGATTGTAGAAGACGTATTTGAGGACATGAAGTCAGCTGAGTTGAAACATTTCCCTTGAAATAAATCGAGCGAGCAAAATAAAATAGACATCAAAATATAAGCAATCAAAATTCACAAGAAAATAAATATAACGAAACAGATTAATGACCAAGAGGTATCGAGAAATTAAAATGACAGAGATATTTAAATACAAATAAAAGAGAACGTAACTAATTATCTAAAGAAGCTATTTGAACTGAATTAAAATAATTAAGATCACTTGCTAAAATAATTCTAAACTAACTACAAGTTCTAAGAATATAAAAATAATTCTAAAAGTACTAAATTATACCTAAACTAAATTAAAATTCTAAGGTTATAAAAACAATTCTAAAATTACTAAATTAGATCTACACCAAATGAAATTTTAAAGTTAATAAATTAAATCTAAAATAAATTAAAATCCTAATGTTGCTAAAACAAATAAAAATTTCAAAGTTGCTAAACTAAATCAAATAAAATTCTAAAGAATTACTAAACTAAATCTAAACTGAATAAAAATTATAAAGTTATTAAAGCTCCAAAATTAATAAATTATATCTAAACTAATTTAAATATAAACTAAATTGATTATAAAATTCCTAATTAAAATCTAAACTAGATTAATAATAAAAGGAGGTGTGAAACATAAACTTAGAGAATTTGAAGGTGAAAATTGGGATGGGCTCAGGTTACTGGTTGGGTTGAAGCCCAAAATGTTTCAAACAAATAAAAAAAACTAAGGTGTTGTTGGACCGGAGCGGGTCACATGATAAGGCCCAAAAATTCAAAAATAAGAAACTCAGTGTTGTTTCTAGGTCTGGCCGTTTGGCTTCTTCTTGGAAAGGGGCAACAATTACCTTTAACATAATTATCAATAAATCCTAAAATTTCTTACTCTTCCATCGATTCACTCTCTCCAGCTTTGTCTATGCTATCACGTTCCTACTTTTCCTCTTCAAACAAACCCTCCTATCACCAACCAATAACAACAAACAACACTCCTCTATCCTTACAAATATCAGTGAATAAACAGCAACAACAGTTCTTGCAAAGAAAAGAAAAAAACATACCTTATACAATGTTGTTATGATATGTCCTCCTTTTTAGATTTCTCAGGCGCATGACTTAAGCTATTATTCTCAGAGTTAGATCCATGCTTAATTATCTTGAGCTTGAGATCATTGACAACAACTTCGTAACATTAAATTCTACATTGTCACTGGGAAGGGCCTCGGCGGAGATGAAGGAAGGTAGGTGCGGTTGGAGGTGATGAATCCACAGAGGTGCGAGATTGAACCGAAGCTTGAGGTTGTGAAAATTTTTTTGAACAGAAACGAAAAGATAATGAGCGAAGATGAAGGATCTTCGACAGAGACGGAGTGGAGAACAATGGCGGAATCGGCGAAAGAAGTACACGAGGAGGATGCATAAATTATTTATGAGAGGCCCATTCATGTTCTTCTTCCTCTGTGTCTATAACCATATTTATGAACTTGTGTAAAATTGGTAAGCATTCATGTGTTAAAAAATTAAAGAATTTATGCATTTTTGATGGTGTTGTCGATTGCTTTTTGCAGGTGGGGATTGTTAGAAGGTGGAATGGAGGACGCGGAAGGCAGGTGCGACGATAGTTGTTTCGCCGTTTCCGACGTCTTACTCGTGCGGTGGTTGCCAGTGACTTGTGCGATTCCAGCGGAGACAGAGCCGAAAGGTTGTGGTGTTTGCTCACGGATGGAAGTAGTGTCATTAGAGAAAAGGTTGTGACTTCGGCTTCAAAGCTTTCTCAGCTTTATCAACAAGAAAAAGTTATGTTACTGTAAATTGTTGGTTGTTTCTTTTCCATGGCAATGAGTGAAGGGTGTTTTGTGTAAAAAAAGAAGTTACATCTTTGATTTTGTTTTTGTGGAAATTGGAATGGCTAGAAACTTGGTAAGTTTATAAAAAAGTCAAAGGGCTTGTAATGTCATGTTTTGAAAGGGATAGATTGCAGCTACTGGGTTGGAAAAGGGTTTGTTGAAAAAGGTTAAGGTGAATATGTACAGGTTGATAAAAGTTGTTTATGACAGTTGATGTTGAAGAGAGACGGGTGGAAGGTTAGTGCCAAAGCATGGAAGGCGGATATGGTGGTGGTGGGAAGAGAGGGGAAGTGAGTTTACTTACTGTGTTTTGTTTGTTGTTTTTGTTTTTTTCTCTTGAGATTTTCTATGTTGTTGGTATATCTCTCTCCCTCTTTTGTTAACCAAGTCTAAGTCTTTATAGAGAACATAATGAAATTTTGGGGGGAAAAATGAGATGGATTTGGATTCTTTGTGATGCATTGTTTTAACACCTTTTTGCTGCAGATTTGTATTGCCATTTTAATGTAATTCGAACTGCTTTTGGACAAATTTTGGAGTGTTGTGGGTAGCAGTAGCAGCTGGCTTTTTAACATATTTTTAAACTATTTTACAAGACTGATATGCTTGGAGCATTATGCAAGTTTTGTTGTGTAGCATGTTTGGATTTTATGGACAGTTAGGATAGGGACAATAGCAAGGTTTTGGACTGATTTTATTGTTTGGACATTTTTACAAGGAGAGGAATAGCATAATAATAATAATAACAAAAAAATAAAAATAAAAAATATTAAACTAAAAATTTCCAAAACATGAAAATTAAAGAGAAATTAAAATTAATTTTAATTTTAATAATAACTCAACTAAAAAGTTGAATTAAAATTAGAACCAAATCAAGATTAATATTGAAAGAAAGAAATGAAAATTATAATAACTAAAAGAATTAAAAGGAAAAGATATTAACTATATATTTTTTATGATTAAAGTGAAATGCTAAAAATAAAATAATGCTAAGACATATTTTTTTTGTTGAGATTTTTACTAAATTAAATCTAGAAGACTATAATTTTGACTTAAGAATAAAAATCTAAATGAAACTTGAAGAGACTACTTTTTTTTTGATATTTTGAATAGTAATGTAAATAAAATTAAGATGACATGAACTAAATATTTTTTTAGGATTTTTTTCATGGAATTAAAAATAAAAGAAGAGAAAGTGTAAAATTTATGGTCGGATAAAACATAGTCAAAAATTAAGAATCAAATTCCATTAAATTCGTGAAACAACTTCAAACGTTAATAACTTTTTCGTGGCTTTTCAATGCATAATCATCTCTTGTCTTGTAAAGAAAAATTGTAGATGGTGTCAAGAAAAACCATATGCAAAAAATAACCCCTCAAAATATTGAAATTTGAAGAAGTTATGAATTTTTGAAATCTGACTCGGGAATTGGCAAAAATAGGTCGAATTGCTTGTGAACTCTTGCCACGCAATGATGCGGATGGAATGCGGGATGTTAGGTCAAAAATTAGGGTATGACACCATCCATTGGAGTAACAAAAATCTCTACAACAGACTACCTTCCATAATGACAAGGCTATCATCCATTGGAATAACAAAAATCTAGACAATAGACTACCTTCCATAACGACAAGGCTTCCATCCATTGGTCTAACAAAAATATCGACAACAAACTATGTTCCATAATGACACGCCTACCATCCATTGCGGTAACAAAAATCTCGAAACTAGACTACTTTCCATAATGTCAAGTCTACCATCCATTAGAGTAACAAAAATCTCGACAATAGACTACCTTCCATAATGACAAGGCTACCATCCATTGGAGTAACAAAAATCTTGACAACAGACTACCTTCCATAATTACAAGGCTACCACCCATTGTAGTAACAAAAATATCGACAATAGACCACGGTCCATAATGACAAGGCTACCATCCATTGGAGTAACAAAAATATCGACAATAGACTTCCTTTCATAATGAAAAGGCAACCATCCATTACAGTAACAAAAATCTCTACAACAGACTACCTTGCATAATGACAAGGATGCCATCCATTGAGTAACAAAGATCTCGACAACAGACTACCTTCCATAATGACAAGGCTACCATCCATAGGAGTACCAAAAATATCGACAATAGACTAACTTCTATAAAGACAAGGCTACCATCCATTGGAGTAACAAAAATATCGATAACAAACTACCTTCCATAAAGACAAGGCTACCATCCATTGCAGTAACAAAAATCTCCTCAACAGATTACCTTCCATAATGACAAGGCTACCATCCATTGGAGTAAAAAAATATCGAAACATACTACCTTCCATATGGACAAGGTTACCATCCATTGGGATAACAAAAATCTCGACAACAGACTACCTTCCATAATGACAAGGCTACTATCCAATGGAATAACAAAAATCTCGACAATAGACTACCTTTAATTATGACAAGCCTACCATCCATTGGAGTAACAAAAATATGAAGAACAAACTACTTTCCATAATGACAAGGCTACATCCCATAGGTGTAACAAAAATCTAAGCGACATACTACCTTCCATAATGACAAGGCTACCATCCATTGTAGTAACAAAAATATCGACAACAGACTATGTTCCTTAAAGACAAGGCTACCATCCATTGAGTAACAAAGATATCGACAACAGACTACCTTCCATATTAATAAGGCTACCATCAATTGAGTAACAAAGATATCAAAAACAGACTACCTTCCATAGTGACAAGTATACTATTCATTGGAGTAAAAAATCTCGACAATAGACTCCTTACATATGACAAGGCTACCATCCATTGGAGTAAAAAAAATCTCGACAACAGACTACCTTCCATAATTACAAGTATACCATCCATTGGAGTAACAAAAATCTTGACAATAGACCACGGTCCATAATGACAAGGCTACCATCCATTGGAGTAACAAAACTCTCGACAAAAGACTTCCTTCCATAATGACAAGGCTACCATCCATTAGAGTAACAAAAATCTCTACCACAGACCACCTTCCATAATGACAAGGCTACCGTCCATTGGAGTAAAAAAAATCTCAAAACATACTACCTTCCATAATGACAAGGTTACCATCCATTGGGATAACAAAAATCTCGACAACAAACTACCTTCCATAATGACAAGGCTACTATCCAATTGAATAACAAAAATCTCGACAATAGACTATCTTTAATTATGACAAGGCTGCCATCAATTGGAGTAACAAAAATATGAAGAACAAACTAATTTCCATAATGATAAGGCTACAATCCATTGGTGTAACAAAAATCTCAATGACATACTACCTTCCATAATTACAAGGCTACCATCCATTGTAGTAACAAAAATATCGACAATAGACTACGTTCCATAAAGACAAGGCTACCATCCATTGAGTAACAAAGACATCGACAACAGACTACCTTCCATTATAACAAGGCTACCATTAATTGGGTAACAAAGATATCAAAAACAGACTACCTTCCATAATGACAAGGATACTATCCATTGGAGTAAAAAATCTCGACAATAGACTACCTTACATATGACAAGGCTACCATTCATTGGAGTAAAAACAATCTCGACAACAGACTACCTTCCATAATTACAAGTATACCATCCATTGGAGTAACAAAAATCATGACAATAGACCACGATCCATAATGACAATGCTACCATCCATTGTAGTAACAAAAATCTCGAAAAAAGACTTCCTTCCATAATGACAAGGCTACCATCCATTAGAGTAACAAAAATCTCTACCACAGACTACCTTCCATAATGACAAGGCTACCATACATTGAGTAACAAAGATCTCGACAATAGACTACCTTCCATAATGACAAGGCTACCATCCATAGGAGTAACAAAAATATCGACAACTGACTACCTTCCATAAAGACAAAGCTACCATCCATTGAAGTAACAAAAATATTGACAAAAGACTACCTTCCATAAAGACAAAGATACCATCCATTGCAGTACCAAATATCTCGGCAACAGACTACCTTCCATAATGATAAGGCTACCATCCATTGGAGTTAAAAAAATCTCGACAACAGACTACCTTCCATATGACAAGGCTACCATCCATTGGAGTAAAAGAAATATCGACAACAGACTACCTTCCATAATGACAAGGCTACCATCCATTGGAGTAACAAAAATACCGACAGCAGACTACCTTCCATAATGATAAGGCAACCATCCATTGGATTAACAAAAATCTCGACAATAGACTACCTTCAATAATTATAAGGATACCATCCATTGGAGTAACAAAGTTCTCGACAGTAGACTACCTTCCATAATGACAAGGATACCATCCATATGAGTAACAAAAATATCGACAATAGACTACCTTCCATAAAGACAAGGCTACGATCCATTGGAGTAACAAAATTATCGACAATAGACTACCTTCCATTAAGACAAAGCTACCATCCATTGTAGTAACAAAAATCTCGACAACAGACTACCTTCCGTAATGATAAGGCTACCATCCATTGGAGTTACAAATATATATACAACAGACTTTCTTCCATAATAACAAGGCTACCATCTATTGGAGTAACAAAAATCTCTACAACAGACTACCTTCCATAATGACAAGGCTATAATCCATTGGAGTAACAAAAATTTAGACAACAGACTACCATCCATAACGACAAGGCTACCATCCATTGGTGTTACAAAAATTTCGACAACAAACTACGTTCCATAATGACACTCCTACCATCCATTGCGGTAACAAAAATCTCGAAACCATACTACATTCCAAATGTCAAGTCTACCATCCATTAGAGTAACAAAAATCTCGACAATAGACTACCTTCCATAATGAAAAGGCTACCATCCATTGGAGTAACAAAAATCTTGACAATAGACTACCTT